TTTCTTTTGTGCATAATTTTATATTATTGTTAATAATAAATAAATTAAGGCAACAAAACAACCTGAAGATCCGGTTCGGAGCCAAAAGACCCGGATCTTTTTAGTGAGTCGACCCGAAATAGCCGGTTCTCTAAAAAGACCCGGAAATCCCATCACTATCTCTGTGTGTATGGATAATAGCAAACACGGAAATACATTTTTTGCACGCAACAATGAATTTTGTTCCCTCAGATTCAGCTTTTCTCAAAATACAACACTTGCACCTGCAAACTTTTTTTTTAACGTGCGCTCAAAATTTCTTTATGCGAGCTCAGCATAGTGGCACAAAAATAACGCCATAAAATACAACGAAGTCACTAATGTGTGTATGGTACAAAAGCCAGGACACAAGAAGCGCTATTTAGTCTCCTCGAATAGACGATAAACACTATTAGTGGTCGAATTAGAATATTTGTATTAATTCAAACATCAGCTTAAAGCCACTACCATTCCGCAGGTAACTCACTCCGTTTGTGCCCACCAGTTGAGAAATAGAGTTTGAATCCGTGTGTCTGCAAGTGCACTCGGAGCCTTCTCCTCTGCTGCTCTTTTTCTACTGGATTTTGCTGTCTGGAAGTGACCAAGTCCTTGTCATACGTCAGAACACTAGCGGAAATCATTCGGGAAAAATCGAATAAAACGGTTTGCCCTATACGCCTTTATTAGAAAGAAAAAGAACCCAATTAAAAAGAAAAAAGTGAACATAAATATCTAAAGAAAGTAGCAATCTAAATGAAATAGTAGTAATACTGTAAATGTTTATGAGCTTCTTAAATCTTGCTCCTCAAATACTATCCGCATGTTTCTTTTGTTTTTTTTTTACTCGACTTTTGTCGTTGCCTGTTCTCAAAATCATTCCTTACCTTGTTTGTTCTCCTTGTATTTCCTCCTTGGCAGTGTGACTTTCCCCATTTCCTAATTCTTGGACCTGCGCACAGAGTCAGCCCTTTTGGTGCGCTGTAGGTCCTTTCTGTTCCTTTCCTCATTTCAGGATTTTGCGCTACCTACAGCTCAGTTCAGTAAAATTATGTTATTTTTATATCTGCTTGTGTGACTGTATCTGTATTTGTTGAACAAGTTCACCTTAAATTCCTAATGGAAACAATTCAGGTGAAGGAAAGAGTTAAAAAATTAAAGCTTTTACTGTAGCAACATTATTTGTAAATCTGTATTTTTGAAAGTTTCCCATTTCAACGTGAACACACAACACATCACACCTTGAAACAGAGGAGCTAACAGCAACAGAAAACCACACCAGGTTCCACACAACTGCAGCAGCAACTCTGTCATGCTTTAAATCTGCTTTCTATTAATTTCTCTTGGGTTTTTTAAAATTATTTTTTAAATTAACTGTTGGCTGTTGTGAAGCACTGATTTTATATCTTAAATTGTACTATACAAATAAAGTTTTACTTAATTACTATCATGTCCAGTCATAATATCACATGCACCGGATTCACTGAGAAATGTTTCCCTGTTGAGTCTACCATGAGAATGAAAGCAACTCTGAGGGTGACCGAGAGTTCAACCCAGCACTAGCAACTTAAACGCCAACATGGGGAATAAAACTTCTACTTGTGTTATCAAGCTTCATGCAACACATTGTAACATAACACCAAAATCTTGGTGATGGTTTAAAAGCATTCAAAATTGCAGAGCTATGTTGAGGATAATATATGTGAACTGACAGCTATAGTTGTAGTGATAATGAAAGTTACCTAACAGCTGTCATTAGAATTAATTCTACTGGTTGATTACCCAGTTTTCCACCAGTAGAGGTCCCTACAGAGATAAAATTACCGACTTGCTAGAATTGGTTGTTCTTTTATCATAAGGGATGATAACACTTTATCACAGCCACATTTAAAGATGGTCCATCTGTAAATCATTCAGCTAACCTTTCCACTGTTTCAACCTGCTTTCTAGTATTACTTCATCCCATCCAAATTTTGTTTTGCAAAGCTCTTTCTTTAATTTTGTCAGGCAGCAGAACTAACCACTTTGTCAACATAAATCCTCCTTTATCCCAAGAAAGTAGTCATTTAAGGTCCCTATTACAACAAAGATGATCACTAACTCTGTCAATGCACCACTTTTGGGAGGATTCCAGCCTGCCAAGCTCAGCAACAGAAATCCTGGTCAAGCCCACAGATTACAGACAAGTCAGACTCAAAATTTATGCAGCACTTGATAATGAGTTGTAGCATAGCTTGGCCTGACTGACCATTGGGGTCTAGCTGCCATTAAGACCTGTCTGGGATGGGTGCAAAAATGGCCAACTCAGTTGATGTAAACTCATCTGCCATTGCAACAATGTTTCCTCTCCCTCAGTCCTGTGGAGTTGGATCTTAAGTGGGATGGTCATGGCAGCTTAATGTTTTACCTTACCGCTGTGAGAACCAGTAACTAGAATCTGAGCGGATCAAGAAGCCATCAGCCTTCAGATACTTTGCCATGATTAGCACAGGTATAAAGTTATATATAATCCTAATAGGGCAGCACGGTGGCACGGTGGTTAGCACTGTTGCCGCACAGCAAGGTCCTGAGTTCAATTCCACCATCAGGCTGGGGTCTTTCTGTGTGGAGTTTGCATGTTCTCCCTGTGTTTGCGTGGGTTCTCTCCGGGTACTCCGGCTTCCTCCCACCGTCCAAAGACATGCAGCTTGTGGGGATAGGTTAATTGGATAATCCAAATTGCCACTAGGTGTGAGTGCGAATGGTTGTCTGTCCCTATGTGTTGGCCCTGCGACAGACTGGCGACCTGTCCAGGGTGTACCCTGCCTCTCGCCCTATGACAGCTGGGATAGGCTCCAGCGCCCCCCACGACCCTGAAAAGGATAAGCGGAAGCGAATGGATGGATGGAGGGATGGATAATCCTAATATATATATATATATATTATAAACTTTTATCATGGCAGAAAATTTGAACAGTCATAGCAGGACATCCACAGATGTAATACATAAACTCAACAAGGGCAGAGTTCCCATTAAAGATATCGCTCACCAAGCCCTGGACAATGATACACAGAAAGAGTTGCTATAACCTCCACATTGGTCGCTTTGCATGCTCTGGCAACATCATTACACAGTCATTTCTGGTTATGCCCGCTGTTAAGGTGCAGGAAGCCACTGCAGTAGTCTACTGAGCGTTAGGTGTTGCCACTCAGACAATAATACTATTGGTATTCTCTTTCTACTGATATATGAAGAGAAGAAGTCAAAACCAGAAGATAAGACTTTGGCAAGTGTTTTTTTTTGTTGCAAAGTTAGTCCAGAAAGTCACTTAAAAAAAAAGAAAAAAAAAAAAGATTGCTGCAATATCTCCCTCTGTATATCTATATAGCTCAGGGCTTCTGTACTAGAATATGATTAAAATGGTAATAAGTGATGCAATCATATACTCATGTCATCAACCCAACTGGGGCAGCCATTGCACAATGCTCCAGGTTGCAAAAATCACTATCAAAATGACAGCACACACCACAAATTGCAGCATCATTTTTAGCACACACCACCATCTGACAGGGGCAGGCATTGAGAATAAAAATGGCTTAATTCTTACTGACATACTTTATTCCTTAAATTTGGAGCACTATATGGTTTAAGAGCCCAGTTACACATTACAGTGTAACCTCGGATTCAGAGTAACTTGACATACGAGTAATCTGCAAGACGAGCAAAAATCTTGAATAAAATTTTACTTGGTTTATGAGCCATAATCTTAATACGAGCAAACTTATGGCTGTATACGTATGTTTTCCAGTAACAGCTGAGCCAACCTGAGTGTCATGCCGCATGAGCTCATGAAAAGTCAAAGTCAAAGTCAAAGTTAACTTTATTGTCAATTCTGCCACATGTACAGGACATACAGAGAATAGAAACTACGTTACTCTCAATCCCTAGACAAAATAGCAAATGAACATTTAAATATAAGAGTGATTAAAAATGCAAGTAAAATATTTTAAAGTAAAAATTAAATAATATAATACAATTTTACATATAACAAGAAAGCTATACAATATACAATATAATGGGTAAATGACATTGAGTGCAAACCAGGCAGAGTAGTGCAAATAGGCAAATAGTGCAAATGGAGATTTGGTAATGTACGGTATGAGATAGTGTAACACAAAGTCTTATGAGGTAGTGGCAGGCAATGCTCCACAAAGTGACTGGTAACTGGTGCAGGCCAGTGATAGAGTCAGAGAGTGTGTGTGTGTGAGTGTGTGTGACAGAGTTCAGTGAAACCATGGAGGAGAGAGGGGAGAGGGGGCAGAATCGGGAGGGAGTTAAGCTTCCTGACAGCCTGATGGATGAAGCTGTCCTTCAGTCTGCTGGTCCTGGCCTGGAGACTCCGCAGTCTCCTCCCCGACGGCAGCAGCTTGAAGAAGCTTTGCATTGGGTGCGTGGGATCAGCCGCTATGCACAGGGCTTTTTTGGTGAGACGGGTGCTGTAAATGTCCTGGAGGGAGGGGAGAGAGACACCAATGATCCTCTCTGCAGCTCTCACTATGCGTTGGAGGGTTCTATGACAGGACGCATTGCAGGCTCCAAACCACATAGTGATGCAGCTCGACAGGATGCTCTCGATGGTGCCTCTGTAGAAAGTGTGCATGATGGGGGCTGGTGCTCCTGCTCTTCTTAGTTTGCGGAGAAAGAAGAGACGCTGCTGTGATTTCTTGGCCAGTGCTGTGGTGTTGTACGTCCAGGAGAGATCCTCTGTGATGTGCACACCCAAGAACTTGGTGCTGCTCACTCTCTCCACAGACGCTCCGTCAATGGTCAGAGGAGCATGTTGGGTGTGCATTCTCCTGAAGTCCACAACAATCTCCTTCGTCTTCTCCACATTCAGAGAGAGATTGTTGTCAGCACACCACGTGGCCAGGCGTCTCACCTCACTTCTGTAGTCGGTCTCATCCCTGTTGCTAATGAGACCCACCACCGTTGTGTCGTCCGCAAACTTGATGAAGAAAAGCTAGCATCTGTTAAGCGTATTCTTTACATTGACCTCATCATCTCATTTCCCTCAGGTCAGCAGTGACTTTTCTCAAAGGTAAAGTGCGTTTTTATTTTTATTATATGCATTTTGTGTTAATCATTATGCATTTATTGGAGAAATATGTATTTGGGTCAATGATTTATACAGAAAATATGTTTAAAAGTGATTTTTACATGAATATTTTTGGAGCTTGGAACCATCCATCCAAGTTTCCAATATATTTATGGTTTGCAAGCAGCATTAAGGAACGAATCATACTCGTAAACCAAGGTATTACTGTAACTGCAAGTATTCTCTTCTATAACTGCTGCCAATCAAGAAGGGAAGCATGTATGGAGCCTAAAAGGTGAAAAGCAAATAAATCTTTTTTTAATGTTCACACTTTGTTTTTTAATTGCTTTATGAACAAAAAACTGAAGGGAAACCCTCCTTTGTTTTCAAAGAAGATAATATCATTAACAAATCTACTAAAATGTGTATTTTTAAAAAAAGCAAATATGTACTATTGAAGGCAATGACAAAATTAAATTTCTTACTGTCATATAGGTCTCCAGATTGTGAAAGAAATATACACCCTAAATAACAGATGCCAAAAGTGCCATCTTTTCAGTACTGTACTGTGAGCCACTCCTCATTTCTTTATCTTTTCCTTCCAGTCTGCATTGCTGAGCAGGTTTCATAGTTTTGCAGAGCAAGCAACATTATGAAAGTGTGCATATGAGAAATCTTTGGATTACATACTGCTGGTAATGGCATGGAAAAAAGAAAACACACCCCATGACACAGAGTCTCTTTATTTTCTTTTACAACCTGGTGAGTTTCCAGGAAGGCCAGTTATACTGAACCTTTGTTGTGTTATTGTGGAGTTTTAAACTTACAATATCATATACTAATATACTATTTTATATTTTCAGTATACAATAGTACATTAGAAAAATAAAGCATGTATACATTGTTTTCTTTCTGCTTGAGCCATGCCATCAAAAATGATCTGCTCAAACCTGCAGATTATGGAGGAATTACCTAATGGTTTTGTGTGTAAGGTAGGTAAGGACCCTAGACTAGTGCTTTGAAATTAAAAATCTATCATAAACATATATTAGATTTACACTTAGTGGTGCAAATGCAAAAAAACCCATAAAAAAACCCCACCAAATGTTTATAAGAATAACAAAAACAGTTTCTTCAACTAGATGATTTCCTATGCACAGTTCAAGTTTTGTTTAAAAAAAAATAAATAAATAAAAAATCACAGTTTCTGCGTGTTTGCATTCTGTTTTTTAAATTATTATTTTTTAAATGTCTAATATCGTTGCCTCTATCAGTAGGCTATAGTCAACAGGATTTATAAAGGGGTTATACGAAAGGGTGGCAAAAGTACCGACTTTCGTTACTTAAGTAGAAACTGTGAGTTCTTTTCGCCAAGCTGAGCCAGTACAACTGATCACAGAGTTCCCACACATGCCAAATCTCACTTCAACCCTGACTCTACTCAATATCCTGTTTAAGTTTGGAGGCAACATCTCTACAGTACAAGCTAACAAAAAAAACCCGTGCATGTGTCATACAGTGAATGCAGACTTCCTGTTACTGCCATGATATGTTTCCTTTAAATCATAAGTGAGCTACATAATGTCCCATGAAAAAATAAATAAATAAAAAGGATGCTATAGTGTCTAATATAATGTCTTAGGGAAATTATAGTGCAAATGCAATGAAGTCACTAATCGGTGTATGCTATAAACTTTAGGACACAAGAAAACGCTATTTAAGTTACATCGAAATCGGAGTAGAAGATAAATACTCTGAGCGGTCGAATTAGAATATTTGTATTAACTTAAACACCAACTTAAAGCCACTATTCACCATTCAGCAGGTAACTCACTCGAGGCTGAACTGTAGTCAGTATGTTCCCCCGGTTGTGCCCACCAGTCGAGAAAGAGCTTTGAATTCGTAGGTCTGCAAGTGCACTCGGAGTCTTCTTCTCTCCTGCTCTATCCGGGCGTGACCAAGTCATACGTCAGAATTATTACCGGAAATCATCAAGGTGGGAAAAAACGAGTCAGTGGGAAAAACGAGTTCGCAAAATCGCACAAAACGTTGGGGAGAACTGGGCTTTTTTTTTGTTTTGCGTTGTGCACTATAGACGCACTCGCCTCTGATCGTGGTCTAAGCTTTATCGCGCAATGCCAACTACACACAGCTAACTGCGACGTAGTATTAGGGGCACAGTAAGAAAACATATTGCTGATCATTTTGAGAATAAAGTCTAAAACTTATTTCGGAAAAAAACTCGAAATCTGTCAGATACAGGCTATTTCCTTTTGTGCAAATCCACTTCCACATTTGTGTGTTTTTCTCTGGCCAGATAGAGCGTTCTGCACCATTACCACACTGTGTTTATGGGCTGAAAGAGAAAGACTTTCCTGTCCCTTTTGCTAAAACTGACTGAGGCACGATTCCACAAACTCAGAATGCTCATTTCGACCGTTTTTCTCAGAATAGAATTACTTAATTACTTAATTTAGTCTCTAGATCGTCGATCATTTTTTTTCTTAATGTTGCTTTAATAGTTCTTTATAAGGCAACCCCCCCCCTTGGGTTAATTAGTTATCAAAGTGAATAACACATAGCAGAGGAAATGTAAACAGTACCATCCATCCATTTTCTTCCGCTTATCCGTATCAGGGTTGCAGGTGTGCTGGAGCCTATACCCGCTGTCGTAGGGCGATGACTTGTGGGGATAGGTTAATTGGATAATCCAAATTGCCACTAGGTTTGAATGTGCGAGTGAATGTGAGTGCGAATAGTTGTCTGTCCCTGTGTGTTGGCCCTGCGACAGACTGGTGACCTGTCCAGGGTGTACCCTGCCTCTCGCCCTATGACAGCTGGGATAGGCTCCAGCGCCCCCCGCGACCCTGAAAAGGATCAGCGGAAGCGAATGGATGGATGGATGGATGGATGGATGGACATGGTGTCTCAGGTGTTTTCTGCGTTTGTACTTACTCAGAATATTTAGCAAGATTTCCTGGACTTTGTTTTTTTGTACTTCTTCCAGCTACACTGAAAAGCACCAGTCATCTCTTTTTGTAAACTGCTACAGTTGTCACATGAGTGTAAGAGTGTCACATGTCAGTGTTGGGTTCATAATTTGCTTTTGCATCAAGTGGTTTCTTTTATCTAAGTTTTGTATCCATATCTCAAAATCTGTGACAACCAATCAAAAAAACAATAATTCTCCCCATCATTGGCTGTTCTTTCATGATAAGGGATAACTCTTTATCACAGCCACATTTTAAGATAAAAACGGGTCATTTCAGTGAATGAGCATGACCACAAAAAAAATCTGACGTCACTAAGTTCATGGTTAGTTCTACTTGCATTATTTTAAACCACACTTAGCCACAGCTCAACAGGCAATAACCATGCCAGCTCCTCTGTGGGGCTGTACTTACAAACCCAGCAGTGCTTGGAGCTAAATGCTAAAATCAGCAGCAGCTAATCAGGACTAAGCAAGTTGTGTGTGTGTGTGTGTGTGTGTGTGTGTGTGTGTGTAAGATTTGTATCTGTATGTCACAATCTAAGGCAACCTTTAAAAAAAAAAACCCCAACAACTGTTTTTTAACTGACTACAAGATGTCATGATGTTAGCATTTAACCCAGTTTGTTGTTTGTACAAGAAGAATGCAATTTGAAAGTCTGCGGCTGTGAAACCAGTCAGGAAGTGGCATTCAACATCCTTTTTATCGCATGCATTACTTTACTGCATTAGTCAAGCTTGTGCCTGTCGTGATGTTCTTGTTCCCATTGTTTTTCTTGCGATCCCTGGTGTGTGCTTATCCTCTGCATGCATTTATTTTCATCATGTCTTTGTAGTTTCTGATGCTTGACAAGCAAGCATGCTTTTCTCTGGAAGGCATCTCCATCTCTCAGCAATCTCACACACACTACTGTGGCCACAAAATTCACTAGATGCTTTTGCTCTATTTTTGAGTTTCCCACTATCACTCTCTGCCGACTAACAAGGAAATGATTACAAAATGTTATTCAACTTTTTGCATTGTGGCGACAAAATCGTATTTATCCTGATAAGTCAGTACAGTGCATGAAGCAAAGAACAGTGATATAAGAATGAAAAGAATGTCGTAAGAAACCAATCTGCGACTAGTATAACGAGGAAGTTTACCATGAGTTTGACAACAGAAGTTCTTAATTAAACAATCCAAGCATGTCTGTAACCTGTCTTTCAGGAAGTTAGCTTCTTATGGCACCCCAGGGCCTCTTCTATCACATCTTATGTAAATTATTGAAAGTGTACATGTTCAAAGGTGGTGCACCTGGCCTGTCTCATGTTTCATGTTTCTCACTGCTCTCACATCATAATGACTATTTTGTTGTGGGGTGGACAAGAGAAATTTTCTTAGGGTGGCCACCCTACACATATCCAGTTCTTACATCCTGTAATATGCATTATATGTGGTTAAAATAGATATAAAACATATATCTATAAAATATCTGAAATCTGAAATCACACACACACACAAACCCTGATAAAAACAGAGTACGGAAAAAGTTTACTGTAAAAACCACAAACACGTTTAGTGAATTATTTTCATAACCTGAAATGCAAATATAAATTGTAAATTTTAAAAACCTGTGTACAAACTTTGGAAGCAATTAAGTTAATACAACCATTTACCTAAAATCGCAACCACCACGAATACTAAAAACTAGAAACTAAAACTAGTCGATATCGCTCTCTCTTTAGCCACACCACTCCCCCAAATTTTCCCTGTTCCTAAATCACCAAATCCCACGTGTTGTCATATCATTTTTATCGGTGGACATGATACACTATTCCACCAATAGGAAAGGGCATTTTTTCCCTTATTTGCGCTGTCCAAATGCCATTTTTACTGTTTCTTTTCACACAAAACGTGACGATAGTATTCTTTTTTCCATCCATCCATCCATCGCGTCTTTTTTTAAAAAATTAAATAAATTTTTTTTCTTATCATAACTCCGGTCATTGTGGCTTATCAATAAAATATAAAAACTGACATATAGTTTGAAGTCTGGACTTTCAACACAAGCCGAAATAGAGACCCTGATGCTAGAAGATGCGTAACTGCAGCTTGTAGCTATGTCAGCTTAAATTGGTCATGTGATTTGAAGGTGTGGCTGTCCGTCAACCCAGAGGGTTAATAACACTCGCCTTCATTCCAGTTCTAGAGTCGAGCAATCAACCACCTGTGTTGAAATCGGAAAATAGCCAATGTGTTGAAATGCTTATGATTGTGTGCTCTGGCACAATCATAAGCATTGGTCGCTACTGACAACAAGAAATAAAACCGTTTGCTTTATGGGCTGAAACATTTTTTTTTAGTGATGCAGGGAGGTAATGCTATGCAATATATTCAGTTTTAGAATTTATATTTAATGTTACTTGTAGCCAGACTCAGAGTGTTAATGCTGGCTAATTTTAATATGCAGCATTGTGATAAGCAAAAATAGAGTGGACTTGGGATGGAAAGACATTATTTCAGGCTGGCACATGCCACCCCTGTAGGTCAGCCTGTATTTTGTTGACCAGCTTTTTTCTCCTAAAACTTCAATATTTGTGTTTCTGTCCATCATCTATCAGTTTTGCGTTTCTGATCTCAGCAGTTCTGCTCTCTGCAGCACCTTGATCACATTGGGGAGCAGTTTGTCTTTAAAGTCCCACAGTCGGGTGTCCACATGAAGCCGATCAAGTGGTGGATCGGTCGGAGTCCTGATTGGCGAGTGAATGATCCGACAGACGTCTGGTGGAACCTTGAACTTTGTTGCAGACATCATAAGCACATCATGCACTGAGGTCTGCTGCACTGCTCTGTAGGTGCATAAATACATGGACAATCACACAATGCCTCAGGGTTAAACGAATGCTAGTGCCGAACACTCAACCATTTGTCCCATTATAACCCACCTTGGCTGAACTATTAACTTGTGTGGATGGTAAATATTTCTGTTAGGCTCCTCTCTGTAGATATGCACCATAATATCAAAGCCTGGCACCCCATTCCATTGAGGCAGGGGTCCCCATTTACTTTGATTAAAAGTCTTCTTGGGATAGGTGTGGTTCTCAATGAGAAATACTCCTGTCTGTAGAAGAACAGTTTAGGTTTGACAGGTGCAGGAAGGACATTTGAAAATAAATTTAGAAATGCTTAGAAAAAAAATGTTACATTTGGATTCTGATTTTGGAGCGTGTTCATCAAAGACATCAGATCTTTGTGCTGGTATGGCATTATAATCTCATCAATGTCATTCAACAGGACGTAGCGGGAACGCTCCATTGATCTGTAAATGCACTCATTAAGTGTGGTCAGCTGGCCAAAGTAGTGCACGTCTCCTCCGTGCTCTGAGTGAAGCCAGCCACGAGATGGATTCAGATGCTTGTCAATGGGCCAAGGAACCATTTCCACAAAGCCCTCATCGCTGTAACTCTGCAACAGGCGGTCGAGCTCTGGACCACAGCTGGTGTTATAGATCACCACTCTGTTCACACCCAGCAACCTGGGACAAAGTAACAGGTTTAAAGGCTTTCATTTATATATTTCATTAGTTTGCTCATGCCTTTGTTATTTATTGCATTTAGCTTACAAAAATGCATTCATATCACACAGAGGAGTTAAGAAGTATACATATAACAAATAACTGGAAATGCAGAGATTTTTTGTTTGAGACGACATTTGACTTTAAAGCCACAGAAAAGCCAGTTAGGTTTAGGGGCCAGCTTCTAAAGGAAAACATTTACACAACATTATAAGGAAGTCTATATCCTGATACATGATACAGTATCTAAACCCTCCTTTATGGATGGTTTAGATACTGGTAGATTTAGGGGTTAGGATGTTTTGTGTGGCCTCAGTCAAATGTGGCCACATTTGGATAAAAAATAAAAACAAAAAAAACCCGAAAACAAAAATAAAGAAAGTTGTGCTGCCAGCGTTAATCTCGTTAAAATGACGTTAACGCCATACCCACATTAATGGGGCAAATCTCCATTAGTCAGGAGAGCCTGGACAGCGCTAACGTGTTAACAAGCTAACCACGCTAACACGTTGACACCATGCAGCCCCACGCATGGGGTGAGCCGCGTTAACTGGCTAATGGAGATTTGCCCCATTAATGTAGGTATGGCGTTAACGTCATTTTAACGAGATTAATGCTGGCAGAAAAAAAAAAACAAAAACATGGGTGGGGAAAACTTCATCGTTTTTATACAGTCTATGCTCCACACTTACATGTGCAGATGCACATTTAAATATCTATCAGCACCTGCTACATTTCAAAACTTCTAATACTGGAAATATTCACTTTGGTGAGAATGTCAAAGACTCTGAAAATCAGCGAGCCAACCTTATCCTCCGCTCTTGAATACAGAAGTAGAAACACCACTGAAGAAATCCAGGAGCTTTACAATTAACAGCAACCGTTACACAGAGGTTTTGCTGCATAGGTTTCACTCTGTAGCTTGTAGTGCTGTTACTGTACTCACCTGTACATTTCCAAAGTCTCTGCAAACTGAAGCACATTGTTGTAGTCGCCAAACAGATTAGAGATGCAGACTGTGAAGTCAAACTTCACGTTTTCTTCCTTTTGCCTGTCGCTCTTTTGGTTTCTTATAGGAAGCCAGGTAGAGTCAGATGCACTTTCTTTGTCTGGTGTAGTCAAGAGAGTGACATGTGTAGCTTTGCAGTTCTGAGGAATCTGACACATGACGTCCGTTGTGGCGAAGGGAAAACCAAAGTGATCAGAATGTTGTAAAATTGTTGCTGGAGTGGTTTTACTTAAAACATTTGTGCAGCAAAAAACGCAGTGAAGGGGCTGTATGGAGTCTCTCTTAAATATGCCAATGATGCGTATATCCAAATCCTTCACTCTCTGGTCCACGTATGCTGACACCAGTAAGTGCTTGGTATTTTTGAGCGGGGTGATGGTCTGCTCAGATACTCCCAAGGAGCAAACACCCGCAGGCCCAGATGGTTTTGGGATGGATTTGTTGTTGTTGTTTGGCAAATTCACATTGAATAGAAGAATGAAGATTAATGCAACAACCAAGAGGAGAGCCAGCTTCTTTTTGAGAGATGTTGCTGCATCCATCCAGCCAGCGCAGATGAAGCTAATTTCCAACCTGAGGAGAAGGTGTAGAATCACAATTACAAAGAGAAATGTAAAGATTCCTTAGAAATTTGCTTGCTGCGATGTTTGTGGAACATCAACAAACCTGTTTTCAAACTTTATATTTCATTTAAGTAGCCACTTTGATGTTGTAGGAGCCATTTTTGGGTTAATACCTTATGTTGCCGCTAAAGGTCACATTTTTTTGTTTTCGTATGGTTGGTTCATGTAAAGGTATTTAAGGTAGATGCACATAATCAGCATCAGGTGTGTTGTT